GTTTCAAATCATCACTGTTAATCATATCACCCGCTGAGTTATGAACTCCATTGTACAGAATAATAGAGTGGAAACTACTTTGAGCATTATATCATTCACTATTGATCAATTGAAGAATTCATATTGATTTCTGTTACATTTTAGAGTAACAAGGTTACAATTCTACAGTCATATTTCAAGCATGTTATCATATCGTACAATGATCGGTTTAACGTTTCTAAATGAGAAATAACCTTATATTAAAGGGTGAATACGTTTCCATCACTATGACCAATTTCTAGCGAGATAATCAAGAGTTCCCAACGACTTATTCCTATCATTTTGGGGGCCTAAGCCAGACAGTTTAAATCTCTCTCTACACGACTCAGATCAACAGTCGGGAGCTTCATGAGCTTTCAATGTATATTGCTTGTCTCATCACGTCGTTGAGTGGACCGAATTGTTATCGTTCTCTAATGATACATAAGCTCCTATACGGATGCCACGATATTGCATATATTTGAATTATATTTAATGATGGACGGTGACTAGTAGTAGAATCTTGGACGTGCGTTTCGTCCCATTTGAGACTCGTTAGCTTCCCAGTGAACAATGTTGTTGGAATGGATCATTTCAAACGCTAGAGCGTTATCCACTAGACGATAGAGTCATGATAACCACTTCTTGTGCGACGAGTATAGTTTTAAGGTTGTTGCTTGTATTATTCTGCCATTGAGTGAACCGAATTGATTCTACCGCTAGCCATTATCCATCATTAATATAATTCAAACTCAGGTGATATCAAAGCAACATCCAGCTGGCAAGTCCTGAATAGGACAAACGCTCATCAAATTGGATTCCATTGCTAGCCATTATCTATCATGAATGAAATCCAACTTTCTTTAGGATTGTACGTTGAAGTAGACTCTGAATAGGCATGCACCTAACTGCGATGTGGTATTCAGAGACGAAACGCTCTCATTGCCAATTTAAGGTTTTGTAGTTTCATATTCTATAAAGTTTTGGGTACTTTACACCATAAAAAAAAATGCCTTCCAGTAAATTTTTTATGCTTAGTTAAACGACCGGTGGTTAACACTTAACCTTTTCAAATAATTTCACATTCGACTTTACCTTATTATACAACACTCATCTATGAATGAACTGAAAGTAGATTATCTAGGTTTTTAATGCAACTTATTAGACTATAGAAAATATTCATGAATTTCTCTGTTAATTAAAAGAAAGCACCTCAGAACTTCGTAGAAATTCTCATCGATGCATTTGTCTTAGTTACACAATAGATGTGTATTTGTATGTCATGGAACAAGTTACATAGGGCTTGCGATCAGTTAGGTGCGTTTCGGGTCACGAGAGCATTTACCGGCATGAAATCGGGGAAAAATTCAGGCTTTACTCATCTGGTTAGTTGGCTAGCACGTCTACTCAACCTGGATCTACAAATTTCATTTTTGTCCTCATACAATCTCTTTCATGTCACCCTCGAATGCCCAACTCGTCGTTACCTAATTTGGGTTCCACTCGATAGTCTTGCCTTGAGCGTGATGTCCTCAAACCGTCTTCTCAGTGTATGTCTAATCCCACCCATCTCCACTTTTGTCTGCATATTTGTTGGACGATACGTTCTTGGTTGGTAAGTTGGTTGTCAGACCAGAGTTCCCCATTGCTTATTCTTATTATTCTGGCCATCTGATCTTCAGTGTCAAGCGAGCGTAGGTGGAAGTTGTTCATGTATATACGTAACACGCCAAGTCTCTCAACCATCATATAGAAGCACTGACTTGACTGAGTTAGTGTTGGAATTCCGGATGTTGTTCACGCTTTCTGCTGAGTGTAGTGCAATGTAGTGCAGTAGAGTAGATCTCCACACTATTTTCAGGTTGATGAAGGTCTATCTTGATGTTTTTCCCTTCGTGGCTCTGACATCGTCATTTGTGCCTGAGCGTGTGTCGCCTGTAGTTGAGAGGATGCTGCCTAGGTAGGTAGATGGGAGAGACAACTCCCTCTAGATTTCTCCTGTTGATGGTGATTGCTGCTTCTTGTTGTTGTTGTTGTTGGTCGGGTATCTTCATCACCTGTGTCTTCTGTATGTCCATCTGAAGGAAGTGTCGTCTTCACTGTCACGCCTCTTCTGCCAACTAGTTGGTTTTCGTCCGTGGATCTTCGAGTTTGTGTGACATAAGACAGTAGATATGAATCATGGGTGAAATCCAAATCTTCTAGGATCTTTTCATCTGTCCATCAAGCGTATACCTCTCTTCTCCCTCCTCATGGTTTATTGCATGATCCAGTGTAGTCGAGTCCAGCCGATCACAATCAGGAAGATCGTCATTGATAATAAGTGGCAAACTTGTCTTATTTCTGTCTTCACTTCATAAGCATCACTGAGTTTTCCATCGTGAATCACTTGGCATATAGCGTCATCATATAGCTGTTGAATGAGGTCGTGGGACTCCGGGGTATCACATAGATGCTACTATATCTTTTTATATCATATGTAGCTCGCCAACACACACCTGTTCAACATATTTGCAATAAGACTGATCAAATCTGAACTTTACATTCACAGAAAGAACGTATTCAAACGTTATTTCCCCCCCCCCCCCTTGGCCTTCAAAATAAACTAGAGACGCTACTCCAATCTCCTTTATTTCGCATCTTTTCATTCTTCCATTCACCATCATCACATTCTTTTCATCTCCATAAACGTCGTCTTCACCGTACGAATACATGTTATAACTGTAGAACTTGATGAGAGACTTTACTCAGATCATTTTTCTCAGCGTTACCATTCTCAAGTTATACAATCACCAACATATATTCTATTCACTTGGTAACAAAAAACTAGAGTATTTCATAAAGTATATTTTTGAACGAAACTCAACTTTGTTTACAAATCAAGGGGTTAGATGAAGAATTACGTAATGGTTGAGATAGTAATGAGAAGAAAAATTACCAAGACGAAATCGATATTTATTTACTCAGGTTAAATGATGTAATATGGTTCAAGTCACTGATGCATTGTAATCAGAAATCAAAGTTATAGGAGATGAAAGAATGTAATGTATGTGTGCTCGCCTATCTCTTGACGCGGTCCAGTACTTTCAGATTTCGAATGTCAGTCATGATGAACGAATACCAACTTTAGTTAGTGCTCATTGATGACTAGCTTCGAGAGGGGATTCTTGAAGTTCTAGCAAGAAGTTGTGAAAGGTGGGGCCATAAGGATAAATTCTCAATGATTACTTTTGGCGATGGTCGCGATTTGTCGTGAAGTAACAGAAGTTGGAAATATGGACTATTGGATTCCGACCAAGTGTTGGCTGAATGGTAACGTGCTGGACATGGAACCTGAAGGCGCTGGGTTCGTTCGCTGGCTGGTTGGGGTCACAGGTGGGCACTGCTGAGGAGTCCACATATTAGTCGGACGAAACAGCCATTTAGTGTTCCCAGGTTTCCAATGTTCTTCCAACTAGTGTCAGTCCATGATGAGTTATCATTATATTATTATTTGTCCTTTGGGTTCCTAGGCGGACACAGGGCTTCAGTAGCACGTCTCCATTGCACTCTGTTCTCTCCAGTTTACTCAACCTTGCTCCACGACTGCGCATAACCTTTATTTCTTTGGACACAATCTCCTCATGTCACACTCGGACGCCCAACTCATCGTTTCACATTTGGCTTCCACTGGACTTCCTGGCATGGACTAGTGTATGAGGTCCCCACACCGTCTTCTCAGTGTATGACCGATCTATCATGACTTTCTTCTGCATATTTATTGGACGATAGGTCCTCGGTTGGTTCGTTGCCAAATATGAGAAATTACTGAGTTCCCATATACCTCAGAATGAAATTCAAAATATTGATTGTCATGATATCTGCAGTTTATAAACGTTTCTTTAGGCGTGTAAAAACCTTATGGATGTTTTCCGCATTTACTCAGGTGCTCATAATGGATCAGATGTTCTAGAATAAGGGCTCTTCTTTCTCCTTTGATATACATATTTCTTTTGTAAAACATACATAGTACCTTATGTATTATTTGTTTTGGCACGATCTATGACATGAGTAATGTAAAATGCCTGTTTATTGATTGGTTGACCCACTTACCATTTTATGCGTTTAGTAATGTAGATATTCGAAGCTTTTATCCCCACCTATTTGATGAATATATCCGGTAAGTCATCGAATAGACAGGGTAGTGAAAGGAATCGTTTTTGAAAATCTCCTAGTTTTTCTTTATTTTTTTAACTCCAATCCTCATCGGCAGTATAATATCTTCCTCTGAAAGTGGCTTATGAGTGGTAGGAATCTTATCTCTTGATGGTAGCCTACCTACCGGAATGGTGAGATGAAGTTGTAACTAAGCTTCTTGGTATTGACAAAATGAAACCATTTATAATTCACTCGATTATGGCTAGCAGTGGAATTCAAGACTTGCATTTTGTCCTATTTAAGACTCTTCAGGTGGATGTACCTGCACCCTAACTGAGTTCCGAACCCTTATCACTCATCGTTTCAGTAAACAAACTGCCTACCCCAGTATAACAACAAATATCAACAAAATAAGTAAAGCAAACAGTAAAAAAAATTCAATTTGTATCTTAGTTAACATATTTTTCAGGGTTACACTGCAAAAAATCATTGACTTGCCATTGAAATGTGAACTAACAGAAGTTAGAAATATAAGCCATTAGATTCAGACCAAGTGTTAGCTCAATGGTAATGTGCTAGACATGGAACCTGAAAGTTCAATCTCTGGCAAGTGGGTTCATAGATACGCACTGCTGAAGAGTCCCCCATACTAGTCGAACGAAACAACTATTTAGTGTTCCCAGGTTTTCAATGTTATAAAAGGGTTTCTTCACGAGTTTCTATTCATCACTGTGGATTACTAAATAAGTCATATAAATATCAATCTATCTCTGTACTGTTATTATTACTATTATAATTTTTTCTATCACCATTATTATTACTATTTCCTTACACTCCTTCTCAAGGTGGTCCGGTGACACATCCACTACTCACGAATACACAACAGGAATCTCATCATACAGAATCAAATCATAAGTTGTAATGATGATCATTGTATCTAATTAGTCAAGGTATTTACATATATACACATATGTATATATATATATCAGTGTTTCTTTGCGTTTAGTTAACTGAGTTAATGTATGTCTATCTAACCAAAATAACCGCTTATTTTGTGTTCATTCAAATCTATCTTCTTTAACGATTGAAGGTGAAATGAATATTTCGACTACCGCGGGATTCGAACCAGCGACCATCGAGTTTCTAGCCGGATGATCTACCAACTGAGCTATGAGATCAGTATCAACATCGGAGCTGGAAACTCGACGACCGCTGGTTCGAGTCCGGGTGCATTCCACCTTTCAATCATCACTCACTATCAATAATAATAATAATAATAGTCTGCCAAACCCCATAGATAGCCTTTTCTGTTCATTACTACTGTGTTTTTTTAAAAATAATTCTTTTCATAATACTATTCAAAGTGTGAAGTTACTAATTGTTGCTAAGTACCTTTTCTTTCTAAAAATTTCCTCTCAAAATTTACCAATGGTGGTGGTTGTAAAGGATAATTAATACTGCGATGATTATTTTCTGCACCCCCAGATCTACAGGATAAACGCCTATTCATCATGATCTTTTTCATCACTTAACTGCTATTGTGATATTTATTCACATGAATATGTGCGTGTGTGTGTGTCTCCCCCTCACTATAACCGCTAGCGTTTTCTATGCATGATTCTCTTTGCACCGTGTGGATATAATCATCTTTTCTTTTTTTATTGCTCTGATTTTAGACAGAGGTCACTTATTTGATATTGTTCTTGTCAATCTGGCTGTTTTTTTTCTTCTCGCTATTTATCTATTGCAAAGTATGCATTCCTATACATTTAGTTACGGCATAGCTCAGTAGCCTAGTGGAGATAACACTATGGATTGGCATACACTTAGGGGACTATTTGAGGACATCATATGCCAGTTCCAGGCCAGGACCTCGAGTTAGGCTTCTGAGGGTGACATGGTGGAGATGGTGTGAAGAAGGAATTAAAGCTTCTGGACAGTCGTGGGTCCAGATTGAGTAGACTGTAGAGAAGAGAGTTAAATGGCGACGTGCTACTGAAGCCCTATGTCCCCCCTAGGAACTCAAAGGACACATAATACATAATAATCCATCTACCCACCCCCAAAAAGTCAAAAAAAGATTCTCCACATGTTTTAGCATTGTGCAGAATAATCAATCATACTTAGACATGAGGTTAATGGGTTTTAAGCTTGTTTTAGGCCAAATGGCTTCATTCTAGGCTGCCCGCAAAGCCAAGACTATATTAATATCCTTAGCTGGAAGTTGTGTTGCTGGATGTTCAGTAATGCAATTTTGTATGGTTCACAATGATTTTGGTAGTCCGTTGAGTGAATCTATGGCTCAGTGGTTTGGCGAGATGACTATCGACCAAGTGGGTCATGGGTTCGAACCCCGCTCCGTCTGCCTACACCTGGACAGTTAGGTAGTATCATTAAACCCTGACACAATAGGTGTGACTGACTGCTTGTTGAGTGCGTTTTGTTTCGGTTACCTGGTGATCAATTTCAACAAGGCAACAGGACCCATATTTATGAAATAGCACCAGATGCTAAGTGACTGAAATGATCAAGGCTAGTAAATCACAAGTCAATACGGTTACTGTTTAGTTTTTGCTGATAAATTGGCAACTAAAGGATTGTGTAACAACTTCATAGGTGGTTTTGCTCAGTCATAGAAGTTAAATAACGCAATTGAAATAGATAAACGTAGAAAAGTAATCCAATTCAACCTGGTATAGATTTCTTTACTAAACTATGAGCTACACTTACTATGTTACGGCTGATGGTATGGTCCCCCTAGATTGCTGATTTTGCAGTAGAGGTGCAAGCTGTGTCATTGTGACTAATTCTCAACCATTTCACCAAGAGTCTTAAACCACTGATTCCTGTTATTTCGGGGTCCCAGCTAGGTAGCCTACACGGCTCAGTCCCAACAGTCAGGGACTTCATGGACTAGTGTCACATCTTGATCTGACCCCTTTGAACCCTCTTCCACTAAACATTACACGTCTAGATAGAGGCGGTGACTCAGCATACGTTCTATATATCCAAGCCACCTCAGCTGGTGAAGGCTCAACAGATCCAGTTGGTGATATAGAAGGAAGCACAAAAGAACAGCACACAATATTGCTATTTCAATGAAACATAATAATGCATCTGAAACCATATGGCCAGTGTTGAACAATGCCATCTAAATTCTGTAGTAATCTTTTCGAAAATCTCCCCACGCTACTCAGATATTTCAAGTTAGTACAGTTCAATTGTCTGTTCAATAACGTTTGATAACTTCTATTTTGGGTTACACAATTTGCATGGATAAAAAGGTGTTTTACTGGTCTACAGCTACTTGAAATTTAAGAACAGCGAGTAAACTGGTTGAATATGTTGACCACTTTAATTATTCATGAAGCTGCATCAACCTGAGAGTGGCTTGGTTTCTGAAGAAATTTAAGCTTGTTTAGCTTTCGGTAAATGGCATCATCTTTTGTTCTGACTGGCGAGATATCTGATAGTCCATCAATGGATGAGTAGACTGCTCTGCATTCATTCTATCCTATCATATGGTTGTGAGATATGGTCATTGAAAGTAGAAGACACAAAGAGATTATAAGTGGAATCACCGTGTGAACAATGACGAGGTTACGCAAAGGATACCATTAAGCAAGGTGACTTGGACACATATACTGTGTGCATACAATCTCAATCGAAGTAGGATCAAGTTGAAAGAAGGTTTTGAAGGGTAACCAAATCAAGATGTGATATCAGTTTGTGAAGTTTTTCACTATTTTTACTTACTTACCTCGATATGGTGGTCGAATTTCTACACCACAGTGACTTAACTAGGTATGCTGATGACACACTTGTTGTTCGCTTTGGTTCCTACGATACCAGAAGGATTTTTTGGATAGTGGCTTGACAAAAAGTAGTTGTTGCTATGATGGCGAGGTTAAAAATCATCAGCCTTAAAGATAATACGCTTTCCTCTACCTTCTGATGCTTGAGATTTGAATTTTATAGCTAGGTACAAATCAATCGGAGTTAAACCTGAAACCACCTCCAGAAAGGTCATATTTCGTCAACCTCAAGCAGGTTTTCTTTTAAGCTCCGCGGATATTCTACTGCTACTACTCATCATCATGATCAATATCAACATAGGAACAGACATTACTGCGTGACCGTCCCACTTGCCACACCTCGAATCAGTACATCAAGTAGAAAGATAGTCAGGGGAGGGACGAAGATAAGAAAATTCAGTCAAAGGAAATATCAAGTACGAAAAGAGAGAGAGAAAAGAAGAATGACAAAGTAGCGATATTCAGTATAGTGTTAAGATAAGGATAATGTGTGTGTATATACATTTGTGCCACTGACATCAGTTCTGAGCCGTATCATCTAGAGTCAGTCTCCAACCACTGGCGATTTCTCTTGTCTCACGAATCCCAACCCGCTAGTCACCTCATATGGCACAAACCAACAGTCAAACACTTCATACATTGATGGCATATTTTAGTCTGGTTACCTCAAGCCTTTTTCCAGCCTGAATCTCCTTCGGCCGATATTGTGTGACGAGGCAATCGGTGACTAGGCATACGTAGTACGTGTCCCAGTCAGACATCTCAGTCGATGAAGGTTCATAACCTCGTCAACTGATTTACCTCTTCTCCCTAAAACTCTATACCTGACTTCTGCATTACTCACGTTGTGTGGTGACACCACGGAATACGGCGGCCTATACTATGAAGGCAACGGTGGTCAAACACTTGAAGCCTTCTCTTTTCTTCCACCTTCAACGGCCATGTTTCACAGCCATGTGGTACTACAGATCGGACTGCTGTGCAGGTGCAGTACATGCGACCATTAGTAGAAAAACGGATATCACGGTGGCACCATAGATGGCGTAAATTGGCAAAAGCTAATCGAGCTTTTTGTATGAGTGCAGAGATTCCATCGGCCACTGAGCCATGAGTGCAGGGCTGATCCTACTTCCCAGGTAAGTGAAGTGGTTGACACACTCAACCACTTCACTCTCTATTGTTAGCCATGACACCGTCGAAGACCAATCCTAGAGCACAAATTTGCATTTGGGTGATGAGAACCGCATTCTAAACATTCTCAAATTCCCACTCAAAGTGTTGAGAAGACTCTGCATCTTGTCAGCGTCTTCACTTAACGGGACTATGCCATGTGCATATTCTAGGTCTAACGAAAATTCTCCTGCTATTACTAATCATATATTGTCCGGTGTGGCGTGCACCAACGTCATACACCGATAGATCACATTTCTGTCAGTTATGACTGGAGAAGGTTGTCTTTGTAACGTAATCCGTGTCCTGATGGTGTCACCATGTCAGTAATGTAGAAATCATGTATAGAACTTAAGGCAGGAGAGGAAAGTCATTTGATAAGGTTATGAGCCCCTTCATCAACTAAGGTGGCTGGGACATGTGTTATGCATACCTAGTCACCGTCTGCTTTGTCCTTGCACAATGTTGGTTGAAGTGCTTTACTGTTGTTCTAAGCCTTGCAGGGTGGTGCGAACTAGCTGGCAGACGTTCACATGACAACAGGAACCAGTGTTTGGAGACTTGGTGTAGAATCGATATCCCTAGCGTAGATTTATCTACACGTTTATCTTCATTTTATTCATCATACTGAACTCAGTGTTTTCTTAGTCCTTCTTTGACCGATTCATATCTTTCCTATTTTTCATCTTATTACTTTAGTTGCTTCATGTAGTAGTAGTGATATGACATAAAATCCTAGCAACTTGAACCTTTATGCAGTAATGCCTGGTCGTATATTGATACTGAGTAAATGAGAGTAGTACAAGTCCTATTGATATCTGAAAGTAGGTGGAAACACTGTGTCCAGAACTGTTCAGGTTACCCAATGGACTGAGTTGGGAGTTGAATATTTGACTTTCCTGTTGTATCCAATGCAGACCTTCAGGTCTCAGGCTCCGTTTCAACACATGACAACTGAACAAGAC